TTTTGAAAAAGCCACAGAAAGTAAAATTGGAGGCACATTAGCTTCATCAGCGGAGATAGGCATCATACGTTTGTTAATATTTACAGTCTATTTTCATTCATTCCTTGTTGATGTAGAAGGGTCTATTTTCAATAAACACGATCCAGGACATTTATGCACTTTTATTAACATTTACAGACAGTCCCAGTGGCTATAATTACATTTCCTGTACCAACTGAGTTTCTGATCTGTTGTGGGCAGATCTACAACTTTGTAAAGTCCTATGACACCACTGCTGTCGGGAATATTGCAGTGGATCGTCCTTCCTTCATTCCTTCCTCTCTGGAAATCTTAATATTATTTTCAGATTTTCATTAAACAGATGATGCTGTATTTGTCTCCCACATGTGTTTAGTCACTGAATGAAACACAAAGTCTGCAAAACACACACACAATGTCCTCTCTCTACAACACACACACAATGTCCTCTCTCTCTCACACACTCTCTCTTTCTACAACACACACACACACACACTCTCTCTCTCTCTCTCTACAACACACACACACGATGTCCTCTCTCACCACACACTCTCTCTTTCTACAACACACACAAACACTCTCTCTCTCTCTCTACAACACACACACACACACTCTCTCTCTCTCTCTCTCTCTACAACACACCACACACGATGTCCTCTCTCACTCACACACTCTCTCTTTCTACAACACACACAAACACTCTCTCTCTCTCTCTCTACAACACACACAAACACTCTCTCTCTCTCTACAACACACACACACACACTCTCTCTCTCTCTCTCTCTACAACACACACACACGATGTCCTCTCTCACTCACACACTCTCTCTTTCTACAACACACACAAACACTCTCTCTCTCTCTCTACAACACACACACACACTCTCTCTCTCTCTCTCTCTACAACACACACACACACACACACACACAATGTCCTCTCTTTCTCACACACACACTTCTCTCTCTACAACACACACTCTCCTCTTTCTCTCCTCTCACGGACACCCCCCCTCCCTCTCTCATCTGCCTCCTCTCTCTCTCTCTCTCCTCTCTCGCGGACAGCCCCCCTCCCTCTCTCCTCTCTCTCTCTCTCTCCTCTCTCGCGGACAGCCCCCCTCCCTCTCTCCTCTCTCTCTCTCTCTCTCTCTCTCGGACACCCCCCCCTCTCTCTCTCTCTCTCTCTCTCCTCTCTCGCGGACAGCCCCCCTCCCTCTCTCCTCTCTCTCTCTCTCTCTCTCTCTCTCTCGCGGACAGCCCCCCTCCCTCTCTCCTCTCTCTCTCTCTCTCTCTCTCACGGACAGCCCCCCTCCCTCTCTCCTCTCTCTCTCTCTCTCTCAGGACCCCCCTCCCTCTCTCTCTCTCTCTCTCTCTCTCTCTCCTCCCTCTCTCTCTCTCCTCTCCTCTCTCTCTCCTCTCTCTCTCTCTCTCTCTCTCTCTCCCTCCCTCCTGCATCAGTCGCTCCACAGAGCCGTATTCACACGCAGCGCACACATCTCTCCTCTCTCCGGGACCGTGAGCTCCAGCACCGGCTTCTCCCGCACCTCTCCTCATATACTCTCGTTACTCTCGTCACTCACGTTACTGGAGAAACGCCGTCACTTTCGCTCCAGAGCCTGCACCTGGAGATAATGAGACGTGCGTAAAAGCGGAACGCCATAAAAACCAGAGGAATTACCAAGACCTGGCGCAGGAGCGGAAAGTGCACGTCTCGCCTTGAACTCTGAGGACAATTGGAGCAGTTTGTCCGTGGATTTAACTCACGCGCAAAAAGGTAAAACAAAAACACTATTTACTCTACGTTTTTGGCGACGCAAATGCACCTTGCGTCTGTACTGGCAAAGTCTGTGGAGCATCCAGCGTGTCCTGCGATGAAACCATAGTTGTTGTTGTCATTTGTCTTGGCCAAGGAGTGGAAGACACACTGCATCTTGGGAAGAAGTGAGAAATTAGAGAATTTGGATTTACTTTTTGATCTGGATGCAACTGCTGCCATATTGTCCATCAAATGAAAGTTATATATGTCTTTTATTTAGATATTTTTCTCCTTTTTTCAGGGTAATGCAACACACTATAACAATAATCCATCAAATACAACAGTAATACACTCCATGAAAGCAACTATAAAAGCCATATGTGTGTTTAGTGTTGGTTAGAATGACTTTAATTCAGGTGTGTACTGAATATTTATGTATTTGGAATATTTGACTGATTTAGGAAAAGAAAATCCGGCCATTTTCACACAAATATCATGCTTGAAGAAGTAAATAATCTGTTTAAGAGAGTTGGAAGTTAACTAGACTCGTCAGTAACTGAGATTAAGATTAAGAGAGATCCTTTGTTGGTCTCACTGCGGGGAAATGTCAGTGTTGTATCACAAGTTATAGAACAGCAGGAAAGAGGCCAAATCTCTAACTCTAGCATCAATGGACAAGTATGAAACTCTATCTTTATGTTTATGTTTATTTGAACATAGAATATAAAAAAAAAAAAAAAAAAAAAAAATGACAAAAAAGTTAAAGTTATTAAAAGTTATTCATGTTCGAAAGGAGCAGGAAGAAGCCAAAGCTTATTAAATCCTACCCCTTTTCCCTGTGTTCATTCAATATATCTAAATAAGTTATAAAACAAATATATACATACATATATACAGTTAATAATAATATAAAATTAACCGTACCAATTTTCAGATTCATGTATCATCTTGAACATAATAATTTTAACTAACTTACAAAAAAATCATTCAGATCAAAATCAAAATCCTGAATCCTTTAGAACCTCCACAGTCATGTTTTGTGGTGTCGTGAATCAAGGTTTGTGTTGCTTTCTGGAATCCACGCTGCTGTCTTCACGAGGGTCGCTTTGGAACGGCTCTTTTCATCAGAATGAGCAGCCATTGCTCAGTCGCTGCGAGCGCTGTTGCTTTGAAGAGTGTTTTGCCGTTAACACCGGGATCAGATGAAGTTGTGTGTTTTTCTCCCTCCTTGTCGTAGTCGTTGAAGCGCTCTCTCATTGCTACAAACGTGCTGCAGGTCCTTGAGCGGGAGCTTGGGTGGCGTCTCGTTCGCTGATCAGACTAGTTTGGTAAAGCATGCTGGGAAATGCTGAGGTTTTCAAGCACAAAAAAATAAATGGGGAAATCATGAGTTTGGCTTTGTGCAAAGTTGGGATGTCACTTCAGAAATGTAGAATGACTCTTGTTGGAAGAAAAAAACAGCACAATTCAATGTTTGCTCAGCACTGTAAACCCTGACAAGTAAAGTTTACTTGAAAAACCCATGGAAATAAATTGCGTATTAACTTCACTTGAATTCCTCGAGTATATCGTTTTCTTGATATTACCAAGTAACTCAAGTGATTGCAATAAAGTTTAAATTTCTACTTATGCTCCGACTGGGATTCGTACTCAGAACCCTGTAGTTGAGAGGTAATGGTGCTCCCCACTCAGCCACCAGGACACTCTGCCATTGTCAAACCTGCCTCATCAAAGATTCTACACGTCAAAATGTCAAAAGTGAGGCTTACTTGAACAGAAACAGTTCAATTCAAAGAAAACCCTGAGTGACATGGGCAAGCTTTAAATAAACTAACAATAAATGAGTAATATTTACTTACTGGGAAAAATCTATTTAAAATAACTTTGATATCTGAAGTAGGATTGAAGTTAGGGTTTACAGGCGTCTCGTTCGCTGATCAGACTAGTTTGGTAAAGCATGCTGGGAAATGCTGAGGTTTTCAAGCACTAAAAAAATAAAATGGGGAAATCCCGAGTTTGGCTTCGTGCAAAGTTGGGATGTCACTTCAAAAATGTAGAATGACTCTTGTTGGAAGAAAAAAAAAGCACAATTCAATGTTTGCTCAGGAATGGAAGTCAAAATCTCAGTCCCAACGCTGGACGACAAACACGACAATTCTATATTTATGAACATTTGCGGACAGACCCAAAGGTTATTTATATCTTTTCTCATATATTTAGCGTCTGACGAACTCTCTGAAAAAACATTGTAGCTATTTGCAAGTTTATTCATGCATTTGACTTAATAATCATTTGAATATTCATGAAGTTGGTATAATCTGCCCATGGATCCTCCCAGCCACAATTTAAAGCATTCTCTATTTGCAAGATTAAATGTATTGTGTGCCTGTTTATACCGTAAAATATTAAATTATAATTATATATTAAAGGGTTGAGGGTCTCAGTCTACAATAATTTATGATCCAGTAAATTTATCTCTGAAACCCACGGATGGAACCCAAAGATTGTATATATTTATTGTCATTTTTAGCAGTGCGCCTGACCCAAAATCTGGAAAAAAAACTTGTGCTACAGTAATTGCAATTTTATTAATTATTTTGACTTCATAATCATTTGTATGTTCTCCAAGTTATTTTGAATTTGAAAAGCTGACGTCTGGCTTGAGCTTGACACGTGACATGGAAATAGTTTTTTTTTGCTTTGACAAAAACGGTTTCTCAATGTCTCTACAACAGCATCCTTTATTAGTCTGTTTAAAGTGGGAAGTACAATTTATTTTTTATATTTTATTTGTAATGTCCACAAAAATCCTGCATTTTTCCTCATTATCGTCTGTGTGAATGTACTTTATTTTCTCTGTTTAACGTGACACATATCTAACAGAATACATACATCTAATACTGTGCATTTAGGTGTTCTGTATTTTCTGCTGGATTGCCAAACTTTATACATTTGTACAAACTAGGGCCGGGACTTTGACGCGTTAATTACGATTAATTAACGCCACAAAAATTAGTGAGTTTAAAAAAAATTACGCATTTTAATTGCGGAGCCTTCCTCACTGGAGGTTGAGTTTCAGACGGACCGATTATACTGTAGCACCAACTGAGCTCTGACTTTTCTGGTTGAAAAGTACATTATAACAAACATAGATCCACTTTAGCGGTGTCTAAATCTGAGTGAGTTAGATCCATGGTTAGAGACGGGAAAGAGCGCTGTGTATGGAGCTATGGTGTGTGAGGAGGAGCAGCAGCGACTCCTCAGAGAAGGAGGAGGAGCAGCGACTCCTCAGAGAAGGAGGAGGAGGAGGAGCAGCAGCAAGCGGCTCCTCGGAGGAGGAGGAGGAGGAGGAGCAGCGACTCCTCAGAGAAGGAGGAGGAGGAGCAGCAGCGACTCCTCAGAGAAGGAGGAGGAGGAGGAGGAGGAGCAGCGACTCTTCAGAGGAGGAGGAGGAGGAGGAGCAGCGACTCTTCAGAGAAGGAGAAGGAGGAGCAGCGACTTTTCAGAGGAGGAGGAGGAGGAGCAGCGACTCTTCAGAGGAGGAGGAGGAGGAGCAGCGACTCTTCAGAGAAGGAGGAGCAGCGACTCTTCAGAGAAGGAGGAGGAGGAGCAGCGACTCTTCAGAGAAGGAGGAGCAGCGACTCTTCAGAGAAGGAGGAGGAGGAGCAGCGACTCTTCAGAGAAGGAGGAGGAGGAGCAGCGACTCTTCAGAGGAGGAGGAGGAGGAGGAGGAGCAGCGACTCTTCAGAGAAGGAGGAGGAGGAGGAGCAGCGACTCCTCGGAGAAGAAGGAGGAGGAGGAGCAGCGACTCCTCGGAGAAGGAGGAGGAGGAGGAGCAGCGACTCCTCGGAGAAGGAGGAGCAGCGACTCCTCGGAGAAGGAGGAGGAGGAGCAGCAGCGACTCTTCAGAGAAGGAGGAGGAGGAGCAGCGACTCCTCGGAGAAGGAGGAGGAGGAGCAGCGACTCCTCGGAGAAGGAGGAGGAGGAGCAGCGACTCTTCAGAGAAGGAGAAGGAGGAGGAGGAGCAGCGACTCCTCGGAGGAGGAGCAGCGACTCCTCGGAGAAGGAGGAGCAGTGACACAGTTGTGTGAGCTGCTATTGTTGATGTTTGAGTTCGAATGCACACATCAGAATCGTATCATAAGCTTTAGTGCTCTCTGTGGTTAAACAAAGCGTCTGTTGTGGACGGAGAGTGGAGGCGACGACAGAAGTCCGTCTGCTCTGCTCCCGTTATCATCCTCAATGAACATGTGCTGCTTAAGTTTATGTTTTCAGTCATTATTCAATGGTAAACTAAAAATCCATGTGAAAAAGAATGACTTCTTACTGTTCTCAGGACTGGTGCTGATGGTGCTCTGTGGGTGCAGCTCTGACTGCCACCCCCGACCCAGAAATGGATTAAGGGGAAGAAAATGGATGGATGGATGTTCTCAGGACAAATATTTATATTTAATAGAGTCCCAGCCCTAGTAAAAACCCAATAATCAAGTTGTTTTCTAATAGATTGGACTGAAATGCTGCTGTTCCAACCTTTCGCCGTCAAAAGTTGCGTCCTTCTTTATAACAAACAGTAAGCTGCATTACTGACGCTATTTGGTTCTTCATTTTAACCAGAAAACTCTCAGATAGAAGTGTCTCTGTCTGAGGAAGATGGAAGTATGTCGTCCAAAGTAAAACCATTTCTGTCTCACTTCTGTCTCACATCTGTCTCACATCTGTCTCACATCTGTCTCACTTCTGTCTCACATATGATTCACATCTGTCTCACATCTGTCTCACATCTGTCTCACATCTGTCTCACTTCTGTCTCACATCTGTCTCACTTCTGTCTCACATCTGTCTCACATCTGTCTCACTTCTGTCTCACATCTGTCTCACTTCTGTCTCACATCTGTCTCACTTCTGTCTCACTTCTGTCTCACTTCTGTCTCACTTCTGTCTCACATATGATTCACATCTGTCTCACTTCTGTCTCACATATGATTCACATCTGTCTCACTTCTGTCTCACTTCTGTCTCACATCTGTCTCACATCTGTCTCACATCTGTCTCACATCTGTCTCACTTCTGTCTCACTTCTGTCTCACTTCTGTCTCACTTCTGTCTCACATATGATTCACATCTGTCTCACTTCTGTCTCACATCTGTCTCACATCTGTCTCACTTCTGTCTCACTTCTGTCTCACTTCTGTCTCACATCTGTCTCACATCTGTCTCACTTCTGTCTCACATATGATTCACATCTGTCTCACTTCTGTCTCACATCTGTCTCACATCTGTCTCACATCTGTCTCACTTCTGTCTCACATCTGTCTCACTTCTGTCTCACTTCTGTCTCACTTCTGTCTCACTTCTGTCTCACATCTGTCTCACATCTGTCTCACTTCTGTCTCACATCTGTCTCACTTCTGTCTCACATCTGTCTCACATCTGTCTCACTTCTGTCTCACTTCTGTCTCACTTCTGTCTCACTTCTGTCTCACTTCTGTCTCACATATGATTCACATCTGTCTCACTTCTGTCTCACTTCTGTCTCACATCTGTCTCACTTCTGTCTCACATCTGTCTCACATCTGTCTCACATCTGTCTCACATCTGTCTCACTTCTGTCTCACTTCTGTCTCACATCTGTCTCACTTCTGTCTCACTTCTGTCTCACATCTGTCTCACATCTGTCTCACTTCTGTCTCACTTCTGTCTCACTTCTGTCTCACATCTGTCTCACTTCTGTCTCACATCTGTCTCACATCTGTCTCACTTCTGTCTGCTGTGAAAGAACCACAAAAGTTAGAAAAACATGAGATGAAGCTTCCTTAAACGTTTATCGCCGTGTTGGATTTTCCGTCGTGCTTCACACTAAAAACAAAAGACTTTCTAAAAATAAAACCAGCTTGAGTTGCTTCTTGTTTCTGATTCTCCATTCCGCAGAAATTTGAATCAAAAGTAAAGATAATTTAGGTCAAAAAACAAATCTCCTTCGCTGAATACACACAAAGTACATCGAACAGCCCTAGATTATTCCATCCTACATCACAGAAAATGCAAGATTTGCCAACTGGACAACGCAAAACTAATTTTGCTTTTAAAAGACACAAGAAATGTCTTACCCTGGTCTTATCCATCCGTACACTCCGCTCAATCATCATGTCCTGCATGTACCGTCTGGGTCTGGTCCCTGTGTTTGAGATTACAATCAGTTGAATTCCATCCGACCAATCAGAGAGCGCGGGAGGCGGGTGTTGTAGTTAGTTGTGGGTGACGTTAAGAGTTTGCGTCAAACGAGCAGGTTGTAGTTTGGTGAAGAATGTGATAGTAAAGTATTCTGGTCTGGTTTTATCAAGAAACTGAAGCCGGAGCAAGAGGAATGTTTAGCAAATGTAATCGCTGCAAAGATTGTGGCACTACTCCCCACGGACTCCGTTAGCGGGAAAAGAGATGGCTAAAGCTAGGCTAAATGCTAAATGCTAACGACTCACTCAGACTCATTACATACGTCACGGTAAACTCAGATCCAATGGTTTCAATCTGCAAAAGGAGTTAGCCCCTCCCACCTGTTAACGGAGTCAATGGAGCAAATCCAGACCTTAGTACGAAATGAACTTTGTACTATGGTGTGGTACCATGTGTCGGTGACAACACGGTTTTGATCTTTCAGTGGGGGCTTCAGGCAAAGTGGGGTTAAGTGTCTTGCCCAAGGACACAACGACAGCAGACATCAGTGGGAGTCGGGGGAGAAGGTGTCGAGGTGGGATCGAACCCACGACCTTCAGGCTCAAAGGCCAACGCTCTACCAACTGAGCCACTGTCGCCCTCGTTACGATCTAAACATGTCTAAATGATCCAGGGCTGGTCAAAAAGACTTCAATATTCAGCAAAAACAAAAAAATTGGGTGTTTTTTAAATTTTGGCGTGTGAATTTGATCTGAGGATAGAACAAGTTAAAAAACACTCAAATTAGGATCAAAATCACTCCATTCAAGCCATTTTAACCTCATATTTGATCATCTTTTACAGTGTATTGACAGTGTTGTCAGGACAGACTAATGTTGTAGCTAAATGTGAATATTTGTGAACTCTGTCCTCAGTAAATCCATCGACTTTAGTTCATACTCTACACGTTATTGTCTTCATGTGTTTCAGATCTCGCGGTACACCTCACTTCATCCCATCTCCACTGCTATGTTTTTATTTTGTTTCTATTTTAATCATACAGTGCTCTTGAAAAAGCAATCGTGTGGGATTATCCAGTCTCAAAGTTATTCTGACATTGGCATAAAGTAAAGTCTGGTGGTTCTGTGTGACATGTGAAATACCATAAAAACAGAAAACGTGTAAAAATAATAATGTATTCCATCTCGAGACAACCTTCAACACGTTTGGTTTTGTCTGTAAATTTGAAATGCTTTGCTGAAGAATCATTGAAGGAGGCTTTGTTTGTATGGCGCAAACATAGATCGGCTTCTCACAAAAATGACTTAGTGAAGGACACATTGTGAACCGTTAATGTTTTTTTTAAAGGCACTTTTCTTCCTTCAAACACCTTTTTATGTTTGGTTTGTCTCTGAAACAACAGCATTTTCATAATCTGTGTTTACGTCTGATAATCTGCAGATCCTGTGATGTTGTGATTATTATTCATGTCGATGCATCTCCGTTGGTATGAGTCTGTATCTATGTATACGTGTGTGTGTGTGTGTGTGTGTATGTTATGTATGTAAAGTGTGTGATGTACATATGCAAGTATATGTATGTAAGTGTGTGTATGTACTGTATGTATGTATGTAAGTGTGTGTATGTACTGTATGTATGTATGTAAGTGTGTGTGTGTATGTATGTATGTATGTATGTAAGTAAGTGTGTGGGGATATGTAAGTGTGTGTATGTATGTATGTAAGTGTGTGGGGATATGTAAGTGTGTGTATGTATGTATGTAAGTGTGTGGGGGTATGTAAGTGTGTGTGTATGATTGTGTGTATGATTGTGTGTATGTATGTATGTAAGTGTGTATGTATGTGTATGTATGTAAGTGTGTGTGTGTGTGTGTGTGTGTGTATGTATGTATGTATGTATGTATGTAAGTGTGTGGGGGTATGTAAGTATGTATGATTGTATGTATGTAAGTGTGTGTATGTATGTATGTATGTAAGTGTGTGGGGATATGTAAGTTTGTGTGTGTATGATTGTGTGTATGTATGTATGTAAGTGTGTGGGGGTATGTAAGTGTGTGTATGATTGTATGTATGTATGTATGTATGTAAGTGTGTGGGGATATGTAAGTTTGTGTGTGTATGATTGTGTGTATGTATGTATGTAAGTGTGTGGGGGTATGTAAGTGTGTGTATGATTGTATGTATGTAAGTGTGTGTATGTATGTATGTATGTAAGTGTGTGTGTGTGTGTGTATGATTGTGTGTGTGTATGTAAGTATGTGTGTATGTAAGTATGTGTGTATGTATGTGTGGGTATATATGTGTGTATGTATGTAACTACATGTTTTTGTGTGTGTATGTAGGTGTAAATGTGTGAGTGTGTATGTATGTAAATGTGTGTATGTATGTATGTATGTATGTATGTAAATGTGTGTATGTACATATCAACGCATATGCTCTTTATTTCTAACATGTACCAAACACAAAAACATTATTTATTTTGCCCTTTTATCCTTCTGTCCTTTCCCTACAGCATCTCTCAGGCTCAGTATCACTGCACAGGAGCTCATCCAGCCTCTCTCTGAGCTCAAACCCACTGTCGTAACCCGTAAAGTCGAGCCAAAACTACACCATAATCAGTTCAAACACATCCAAATACATACAATAGATAAACTACAAACTCAGATACAGCCTACAGAGAACCAAACCGAATCTCCTACAATTCAATTACAGTTCATATGGAGGGAGCCGTGGAGGAAATCCCATCAACACCGTCCTATATTGAAAAATTGCATTATCTTTCTGGAAGGGTTTGCACACAGCCTGGACGGTTTTCCCTCTTCCACGTTGACTCTACGCGACATGGATGCACGGAGTAGAAAACACCGCTTGGCCATGATTGAAGTCATGCTGCGGCTTAGTCCCAAAA